CATTTCTAGCCCTAAATCAAAATCAGAGCTGTCATCCTGAGCCCAGCGTTACTAATGTTATTGAAACTTGGCCGGGAAGAGGGGAGGGCTGAGCAAAAAGATGCTGAATTGGTTGGTTTCTTCTGAGTTTATTTCTTGGCAAAGGAGATGAAAGCGCCTGTGGAGCTGAAATGCTAGTAACTGTTTTAACCCTGCTAAAGCTGATATTCTTGACATGTTCCTTGCCTGGGAATAAGCCTCCAGTCATCTATGGGAAAGCTGACTCAAAGAGAAGGGTTTCTGAAGCCATGGCTTCCTAGACATTTAAGGTGTGAGGTACCTAAGGTCACCTAGTCTCTGTCCAAAAGCAGGGTAGAGTCCTACAGGGATGTGTAGTCTGTCATAGAGACATAGAAAACGAGGGTTGAAGGGACCTCAGGAGGTCACATCTAGTCCAACCCCCTGCTCCAAGTAGGACCAGCCCCAGCTCCATCATCCCAGCCAAGGCTTGGTCAACCCAGGGCTTAAACACCTCCAAGGATCAAGAGTGCACCACCTCTCTGGGTGACCCGCTCCAGTGCTTCACCACCCTCCTAGTGAGAGAGTTTTTCCTAATATCCAGCCTCAACTTCCCTTTCTGCAGCTTGAGCCCATTGCTCCTTGTCCTGCCATCTACCCCCACCGAGCACAGCCCAGCTCCATCCCCTTTGCAGCCCCATTGTGGCAAGGTTGTTGTGGTGAGACTTTGCAAGCGGAAGTCACATGTGTGCAATAGAGATGACAGGTCATATTGCAGGGGAAGATGTTTTCTCCTAGTATCTGTTGGCCAAAATTTTGTTTCTCTCCAGGAGTTCATGCTAGACACCCACCACCCTGGTAGCATTTCAGAGTAACCTGCTGGGCTAAATCCCACACATCCTTAGTCAAGCAAAAACCTTAAAGGAATGGATGTTTTGTGTGAATAGACCTGAGTAAGAACATGATTTCGCCGTGTGTCAGCATAGTGCCTTGGGGTCCTTTGGGATGAAAAACGCTACCAAAATGCAACGTATACTGGACATGCGAGGCACCCGTTTAAACTTCGAAGCACCTGCAAAGACTCCTGGCAGCCCTAGTGTCACTAGAAAATCATGTATTGTTGTCCACTGGGTCCATACAGTGATATTGCTATAATCACCCCCCACACTCCTTTAATCCGTGGGTTTATATTCTCGGCAGGTGCGATAGCCTTCATCCCTATGTGGCCAGCACCGCTGTGTTACCTTGCAATGGAATTAATTCTAAATCAGCATCTATTTTTCCCATCGTTTGTGCTGCAGGAGGTCTTTGATCGTCTCTATGTGATTTATACTGTCGGATACTCCATCTCCCTGGGCTCCCTGACAGTGGCTGTCCTTATCCTGGGATACTTCAGGTAGGCGTCTGTTTTGAGCTATCGATTTCTTATCAGCAGAGGTACTTGGGTTTTCAGATGTCATGAACCTGCTTTGCGTGTGCATCTCCTCCGGCTGACGTGGAGGTCGTCTTAGTTGTGGGTCGTGCCATTGAAACAAAGATGGTGTGGAGGGTTGGGCACAAACTCTTCCGTCCTGCAGTAAATGGCCCGTGTGGAGAGAGCTCAGCCCTGCAGTGGAACAAGCTAATGCTCCTATTTGTAACAGGGGTGAAGTCTGAATGAGTCCAAGCCCTGGGGGAAGAACAGCAAAGCTTTTCTGATGTCCTCGTGTTCCTAAGAGCATGCACCGGGGGCAAGAAATGGCTGGTAGCCCCTAGATGCGGATTCCTCCAACTGTGATGGGGAAGAGCTTATAGAGCCCGCTCTTCTCTCGGTGTGGTGCTCACACCTGCTGCCTGTGGTCAGGGATGGAGACTGTCAGGAGGGAACTGGCTGGAGTGCATCACGCTCAGCTGGAGGGTGGCTTCTTTCTCGGCTGGAGGGTGGTCAGCTGGCTGCAGCGCATCACGACGGCGGCAGGGCAATGCAACTTCTGCAGCGTCTGCAAATGAGCTTGCAGGCACCGCTGCCCTGCCCGAGGCTAAACCATAGACCCGAGAATTAGACAGGCAACCTTTGGCTTTTCGAGCATGCAGACCTCTGGGAGGGCAAATTTCTTAGCTCAGGAGGTGGAGAGAATCTGTGCGTGTAGGTCTGATGTGCACCCAAAGCAAGACACTGGCCTTGGCACCGTGGCACCTGCACTGTGTCGTCCTCCATTGCAAGGTCCTGTGAGGCCTCTTCCTCCTAAATGCCTCATTGCCTATTACGGAGCAGGAAGGTTTGGTAAAAAGCTTTAGTGCTGTAACTCTCCCCGCCAAAATAGAAACTCTGAGGATGCTCACATCTCGCACCTCCTGGTGCTGAGCAGTTCTCCTCGCTGCTGTGTCACTGCTAAAGTTGGAGGTTATGGTGGGAGAAGCAACAGTGCAGGACCAGCACCCTCCGGCTCAGCTCACCCACCTCTCCACCGGTCCACAGCCCAATCCGCTTGCATTAGCCACCGAAATATATACTGCCATCAAAGCCGGGAGATTTCAATGGATATGAGCTCACAGCCTCTCACAGCACTGCCCTGAACAATTAAATAATATCACCCCTCCCATGAGGACACTGCTTCTGACCTACAGGATCTCAAATTGCTCGACAGTCTTTTTATTCAGGGACCAGTCCACCCACTGCTGCAAGGCTGCCGCGGCTGTTGTAGAGCCCTACTCCCGGGTCCTGGGGTCTGACAATGCCGCGCAATAGGAGGTGTCATGGAAACTGTGGAGGGGAGGCAGCTAGATGGGATATAACTTCTAACCCAAGATGAAGTTTTTCCCAGGCACGGGGACTAACACCCCTGTCTTACCAGATCATCATTGGCCACCCATCCTGCTCTTTTTCCAAAGCTGGGAGTGTGTCATCTCAGGCACCACCGAACCCTACCTTGTCCTTGCCCAGAGCATCCTTCCAGGTCCTACCACAAGGCTCGTGGCACCCTGTGGCTCTTTTTCAACCCTCTGCCCAGTCCCCCTGAAGACAGGGGAGGACCCGTTGAGTTCCCCAGGGTGAATTTGCATTGTAACGGGGCTCTGACTCTGGACCGGGTCCACAGCAGCCACGTGGTGCTGTTGGGAGGAGAGGTCCCACTGTGGGACAAAATCACTTGAACCCACCAGCGACTGGCAGCCAAGGTGGCTTTAGGGAAGCACAGGTGAATCTGGCCCGTGCCCAGGTGGACTTCCCACCTTTTCGCCCTTTTGTTCTCCTGCCCAGGCGTTTGCACTGCACGAGGAATTACATCCACATGCACCTATTCGTCTCCTTCATGCTGAGAGCCGTCAGCATCTTTGTGAAGGACGCGGTCTTGTACTCGGGGTCATATCTGGAGGAGATGGAGCGCATCTCAGAAGAAGACCTGAAGTCCATTACTGAGGCCCCACCAGCGGATAAGTCGCAGTTTGTGAGTATTGTGTCTGCCCGCTTCTCTCTCCCTCTTGCGTATCGCCTCCCCGTAGCGCCCCGAGGGTTGGAGGCTGCAGACTTTCATGCCTCTTCCCCTCTTGGAGAGCTTTCTCTTTCCACTACCACCCACACCACCCCGTGTCCCACACATACAAGTGCTCGTACGCCTTCTCTGCTCACCAGCCTGAATTCAGTCCAGGGTTTATGTGGGTCCTAAAGACCCCTCTGACCTATCTGATCAATGCAAATGGGACTTTTATTTTCTATCCATGATCATTACAGGGAATATTAGGGTTGGGGTTTTTGCCCACTCCTATTGCACAGTTTCCCGATGACAGTAGCACCCAGGAGAGAGTCTCCTCTCTATTCCAGAAGCGTTGCTGCCTCCATCCGTGTATCAGTCTCGCAGCGCACACTTTCCTCTCTGGTCCGTAACGCAATGCTTTTCCACTCTGCTGTTCAAAGCAAGAGCTGTCAGACCTGTGCCCTCTGACTGACATGCCTGCCTTTCCTGGACGCGGCGCTACGTGACTTGGAAAGCCCTCAACTCAGCTCTGAGTCCAGAGAACAGAGCTGGGAGAGGATGTAGGCTTTAAGCTGGAGCCGTACCTCATTAAACATCTCACTTCGCTGCAGTTTACAATGTGTTACAACTTACTGCTCCCGTTACGATTTAACAACCCTGGCTCGGATGGTGAAACACATGTTGGAAAGGTGCATCGCAGCATTGGATGCCATTAGAAAGAGAGGGGCTGTTGTCGTCCTGGCATGTTGAAACCTGCTACTCCCACTGTTGTTGGCTGCTCCCATTTTAACACATTATTCTGATTATTAGTAGTAGATGCAATGGGACAGATTCTGTCCTACTTATTAGATGCATAAAAGCCCCTAGCCTACATGCATCCAATATCTGTTCTCAGATCCTAACAACCATATGTCCTTCCATGGTAATTTTGGGGTCAGGGATCAGATCCCAATCATGCTGCTACTATTTTCCAGTGCAGGAGGGTCCGGGATCATGATCCCAGACTGCCCCCCTACACCAGCAAGTAGAAAGCAGGGTGCCTGGTGAACTGGTGCAATCCCAGAGCTGATTGAGGGACCGCACTAGGCTGTTGAACGTGCTTTGGTGCTGTGCCAGGGCTGATGCTGCCAATCAGTTGATTGGCGGTTCCACCCCCGGGACCACGCTGGAGTCAGCCGTCGGGCTGCACGGCAGGGACCCTTGCACACGTTCAGTTTAAGGTGCGATGGAAACCAGCCACGCAAATATTACACATAGTTTGTAGCACGATATTGTGGTTTATTTCCCGTTTCTTCCTCCCATTCATGGCATGAATGTGTGGCCAGGCTGGCATTAACTGGTTGCTCCCACCATAAGTGTAACGTCTGCCAGAGGTCTAATTGAGAGTCCCTTTTCCAGCACTGGAGCAGAGTGGAACAGAATTGCATGTAGGTGCCTAAGTCCATGTCGATAAATTGGAGAGTCCAGTGGAGGGCAATGGAAATGGTGGGCACAACTTGTGAGAAGAGGCTGAGGGAGCTGGGCTGATTTAGCCTGGAGAAGATGAAAGAAAGGCCTTACGCTCCCATATCTAGGCCAGGTCTGCCCCGCAGTCATTGCCGTGCCTGCAGTTCATGGCCTACTGGAACGAGCATTGCTCTAGGTAGCGTTGGAAGCAGTCTCGTTGGTGGTAACATGGAGCTCAGCAGGAGCAAACTGCCCAAATATTAGCTCAGGTGACTTCTGCAGCCCACACTGTCTTCCCTGCTGCCACAGCTAGACTACCCCTGAGCTAGCTAGCATAAAGAGAGCTTGAATGTTTAAGCTGTGTGGTCACAGGAGTGCTTTCAGTGGAGCTTATCCGTAGTTCTCTCCCCATGAAACCAGTGTTGCTCCATTGAAATCTTTTAAGGGATTCAGTTTGACCAGGTTTAGGAGCATTCCTCCATCCCTTGGCTTTCCAAACTGCAAAGGGGCATTTCAGGATTATTTACCACGGTCCATGCATTGTCATAACCCACTTCGCAGCATGCATGATGTCCCTGCCCGTACCCAATTCCTGGAGAAGCTAGGTTTAGGAGCATCCCTCCACCCCCTGGCTTTCCAAATTGCAGAGGGGTATTTCAGGATTATTCACCATGGTCCATGCATTATCATAACCCACTATGCCGTGTGCATGATGTCCCTGCCCGCACTCGATCCCCGGAAAAGCTGAAGAGCCTCATGGGTTTAGTTTGGAAAGCCACCAGCTTGGTTCTTGGAGTCAAAGGCGGCTGCCATCACGTTGGCTCAGGGTCAGCCCATGTTGTCGAGGAGGAAAACTCT